TCTTTTGATATTAGATTAATTCTTATTATTTTTGTGTAATTATTGAAGATTGTATTTATTATATAATTATTTGAAGTTATTTGTGATAAAAAAATTAATATCAATTAGTGTATCAAAAAATTAAGTTATTTAATAATATTCTTAAGATTAAAAACTAAAAATTAAAAAAATTTAGTGTAAAATCAATTTTTAATGATGTAATAAGTAATATTAATATTTTTTAAATAAAAGTTTATTTTGTTTTTATACAAAATAGTAAGTATGCCACCACGTAAAGAGTTTCCGAGTAAAGGAGTAGAGAGAACGCCAAGTGATGATATAGGTTAGCATTTTGGAACAACTATGCCAAATACAAGATGAAATGTTTCATGTAAACTTTGTGGTAAAGTTGTAAAATGAGGAATAACACGTTTCAAAGAACACATTACTCATAAAACTGGCAATGTTGCACCATGCCCCAACATTACTGGTATGTTATATTTTTTTAATTCATTTGAAAATATTATTGTTAATTTCTTAATAAAAATTATAAAATTACATAAGCATGTGCAACTAATTTTCTTTTTTTTTTTTTAATTATATTATTAATAGATATAGTAAGAGAAAGTATGATGAAACTCCTTCAAGAAAGCAAATAAAAAAAAGCTAACAACAAAAGGAGAAAAAATGAATTTTTATCACAGTTAAGAGGGGAAGATGATTATGAAGGATTTATTGATGACATTGCTACTAGACAAGCCGTGCGAGATAACATCCAATCACAACATGAGTGGCACAGAAGATAAGAATTCAGACAAAGAACTAATGATTGGAGTAACATATATGAAGAAGGACGAAGCTCTCATGGTTCAGTTGTTAAATATTTTGAAGAAAGAATAAGGAAATCAACTCCAAATGAGTCTGAATTTTCGTTAAAGGGAGCTATTCCTGAATTGGTTAGAAGTAAAAGTTCAAGACAACCAAAAGTAAGTGATTTATTTCTAAAGATATTAAGAAGAAAAATGGGTGAATCAGTATCAAATTTTTTTATATATGATCGACTTCCTTTTCAATTAGCAAATTCTCCATAGTTGCATAATTTGATTTTTGTGGCAGCAAAAGTTGGCCAACATGTAAGACTTCTAACACCTTATGAGGTCTCAGATGTGTATTTAGAGTTTGAGTATCAACAAGTTCATGAATGGGTTAATGGATTAAAAGCTTATTGGAATGAATTGGGTGTCACTTTGATGTGTGATGGTTGGACCAATAGTTTGAATCAAATACATATCATTAATTTCCTTGTTTACTGTAGTAAAGAGATAATTTTTTGAAAATCTGTAGATGTCTCAAGTGTTCATAGTAGAGATGTAAACTTTTACTACAGATTATTAAATGAAGTTGTGGAAGAAATTGAAGAAAAATACATTGTTTAAATAGTCACTGATAATGAGGTAGCACTTAAGGTCGTAGGAAAAAGACTAATGGAGAAGAGAAAACATTTGTATTGGACAGCATATTCAGCTCATTGTTTGGACTTGTGCTTTGAAGATATTGGGAAGAAAAAAAATGTGGCAAAGGTTTTAGATGATGCAAAAAAAGTGACTTGTTTTATATACAATCACATTTGTACTGTTAATTTGATGAAGAAATATACACAAGGGAAGCAAATACTTCGTCTTGCTCTTACCCAATTTGCCACTCATTTCATACAATTAGAAGAAATAATGAGGCAAAAGTAAAGTTTGAGAGAGATGTTCAATTTAAAGATTAGTACTTAGTAATTAGTACAATTATTTAAATCTAGCATCTTTTTATGATATCATTGTTTTAAAATATTAATTTAAAATATATTACTCTAAAAATTTATTGATGAATATATAGGAATTTAAATATTCAAAATGGGGACAACAAAAATCAAGACCTGCTTATGAAGCCAAAAAAATCATTTTGAAAAAAGATTTTTGGAAAAAAGTATGCGATATAATAAAAGTTTATGAGCCTTTGGTAAAAGTGTTGCGCCTTATAAATGGTGATGAAAAACCAACAATGGGCTTTATTTACGATGCTGTGGATAGAGCTAAACAAGCAATTCAGCAAACTTGTCATTATTCTGCTGAATATGAAAAGATTATTGACAATAGATGGAGTTTCATGCACTTTGACTTGCATTTAGCTGGTAAGTAAACCAAGAATATAGATGGTATTTAAAAAATATGTTTATTTTTTATACTTAAATTGCTTATATATTTATTTTTTATTACTTTAATATAATATTATTATAAATTATGTTTAGGTTACTATCTAAATCCACAATTTCAATTTAGAGTGGAACATTCTGCAAATGTATTTAAAGAAACATTAGAAGGTATAAAAGTAATTATTGAAAGATTAAAACCTTTGATAGATACTCAAATCAGAATGATTAATTAGGTTAGTATTTAATACTATTTTATAACTTTAACATTTATTTTATGTATTAAAAATTAAATTATGTTTTATTTATTCATTTATTATTGTATTTTCAATCGATGTGTTGTTATTATTTCGAGACAAGCATGAAACATTTGGTAATCCATAAGCATAAAAAGCTTGAAAGCAAATGAATTCAGGTAAATAGTAAGTTAAATAATTATAATTTATTTATATTATTTAATTGTATAGCCCATTGAAATTTAATTTAAATAATTTTATACAGTTGAGTGATGGATGATATATAACACTTGTGTTCTTGAATTACAAAAACTAACAATCAAAGTGCTTAAGCAAACAACATTTGCATCAAATTGTGAACGTAATTGGAGCATATTTAGCTATATTCACACCAAAGCAAGAAACAGATTGAAGTTTGAAAGACTCCAGAAACTTGTATATACCTATTATAACATGAGGTTGAAGATGAGACATCAGAAAATAATGAGCATTGATAAAATAAATAATAGTTTTAATCCTATTAGCCTTGACCATATTTTTGAATATGATGATCCACTAACAGAATGGCTGCATGAAAAAGAAAATCTTCTATTAGATGGTCAAAACTCTGATTGGTTGCTTGTAGATAATTCTAATAATGAAATGAATGTTGAATGATCACGTCAATCTTAAGAAAGGAATGTATCTTGTTCAAGTTCAAGTCCAACACCAAGTCAGAGTGATTATGGTGGTAGTTTAAGTCCAGATGATGATGGTGATGGAGATGATGATGGTACGAATTTTAGTGATAATATGGATGCAAATCGACCTTACAGCCCACTTGAAGGAGAATTTGGGCTTGCTGTTACTGATGGATTTTTCATTAATATGGTAGAATACGGAGGAAATCCATTTGCTGAATCTAGTAAGGGTCAAAGTGCACGTATAGCTCGATCAATAGGAAAAGCGAAAAAGCACCAATATGATATTTCTAGAGGTTCTTCATCTTCAGGTGGGAGACCAAATTCTAGTAACTTTGAATGTAGTGAATCATCTGCTAGTACTCAAAGACATTACTATCCATCAGAACAACTTAATTTTTGACCTCCTCATGGTTATCCACCTCCATATGGTTATTATCCACCTCAAAAGTATTCTACACCTCTTCAAATATATCCTCCACCTTAAATGTATCAGTTACCATAATTGTACCCTCCACCACAAATGTATCATCCTCAAATATATCATCCACCTCAAATGTATCAAGAACAAAGGCCTCAGGGATGAAGATGGAGTCAACTTGGCTTTCAAAGTGAAGATAAAGAATCTGATCCTCCTCGTCATTTTATCATGTGGTAAAATTTGAAATATATATCAATAATTGTAGTTGATGAAATTTGAAATTATTATATTTTTAAGTTTGTAATTTTATTAAATTAAATGCTTGGTATTTAACATATTATATTTTGTTAATATTTGATTTGTGTAGAATTAACATTGAATATGAACTTGGTCAAGAAAAATTTTATGGATAGACCAAATATGAATGCTTTTTATAATCTAAATAAAATTGTGAATAATTTTTTTAGAAAATAAAAAACATAGTGTCATAAATTATTTTTAAAATCATTGAATAAGAGTTTTTATAATTATAATTATAATTATTATATTTTATAATAAATTGTGTAAAAAAAAAATTTACGATCGTGATGATTGCAATGATCGTAATTTCGTTACATCCAAAAAACACGATAAATATTATACGATCGAAAACGTGATCGTGATCGTTATTTAAATTCTTGTAACTCGGAGATCGACGTAAACAAAAACAGACAGGGATCTTAAAGATTAAGAAACAAGATATTCATGGGACAAAACAGACTTTAAAATAAAATCGAAAACCATGGTTTAGGATGGAGAAAACTAAATAAGATTACTCCACTCACCAGTTTTCCATGCTGAATAGCATCCTTGAGAAGTACCTTGAAAAAGTTTGGACGTAAAGAAGCGGGTGTCATGGTCTCGCTGCCCACTGTTGGAAGCCATAGCTGTAGCTTTTGCAGACCACTTTTCCTGGAAGACAAATAATATAGAGAAAGGCACATGAAGAGTCAGGCTCAGCCGTTTCTGAGGAGTGTGGCTCGAGTTGGTTTTCATTAGACACGTCAAGATGTTTCGTATTTGAGAGACACATGCTCCACGCGTGCGAAGCCCACGTGAGGACTGCATGGACTAACGGAAGTAACACGTGTGATGTGAACCGCTATTGTTTTTTAATTTTTAACGTAACTTTGCAACCTTATTATTTTCGCATTTAATTCAACCATTTGAACTTTAAAAATATTAAAAAACACAAAAAAAAAAAAAATCAAACTATTAAACGGCGCCAATAATATTTCCCTCCAAGCTTCCCTTGTACGCCGACCGTTATCCGCTCCTTCAAATTTCCCATTATCCAATAGGAATAAGACACGTTGCTATTTTTTAAAAAATACAAAAATTCCCCCGCAAGTTTTTTCCCCAAATTATTTCAAAGTCCCGCGCTCTCCTTCGCCTATAAATCTCCTCTCTCTGCTCCTCCATTTTCTTCATAAGAAAAAACCCTTTCTTCAAGAACCCTAAAATTTGTTAATTTCCCTAATAGCCCTTCCAAAATGCCTTCAATTCCGGAGGAGCCACTGCTAGCCTCTAACCCAGACCGCTTCTGCATGTTCCCGATCCAATTCCCACAAATATGGGAAATGTACAAGAAAGCTGAAGCCTCCTTTTGGACTGCCGAGGAAGTCGATCTCTCTTCCGATCTCCGCCACTGGGAAACTCTTACCTCCGACGAGCGCCACTTCATCACTCACGTCCTCGCCTTCTTCGCCGCCTCCGATGGCATCGTCCTCGAAAATCTCGCCGTTCGGTTCATGAAAGAGGTCCAAATCGCCGAGGCTCGTGCTTTTTATGGATTCCAAATAGCCATCGAGAATATCCACTCCGAGATGTACAGTCTCCTCCTCGAAACTTACATCAAAGATTCCACCGAAAAAAATCGGCTCTTCCACGCCATTGAAACGGTGCCGTGTGTGGCTAAAAAAGCCGATTGGGCTTTGAAATGGATCGATGGCGGTGAAACTTTCGGTGAACGGATAATCGCTTTTGCTTGCGTGGAAGGCATTTTTTTCTCTGGAAGTTTCTGCGCGATATTTTGGTTAAAAAAGCGCGGGTTAATGCCTGGGTTAACTTTCTCAAACGAGTTAATCTCACGAGATGAAGGTCTCCACTGCGATTTCGCTTGCTTGCTGTACTCTCTCCTCCGGTCAAAGCTGAGTGAAGAGCGTGTGAGGGGCATAGTGAGGGATGCGGTGGATATAGAAAGGGAGTTTGTATGCGACGCTCTGCCGTGCGCGTTGGTTGGGATGAATGGCGAGTTGATGAGTCAGTACATTGAGTTCGTCGCAGATCGGTTGTTGGGAGCTTTAGGGTACGGGAAGATGTACAATGTGGCTAATCCTTTTGATTGGATGGAACTAATTTCATTGCAAGGGAAAACCAATTTCTTCGAGAAAAGAGTTGGAGAGTACCAGAAAGCGGCGGTCATGTCTAGTTTGAATGGAAATGGTGGAACCCATGAATTCAAGATGGATGAAGATTTTTAGGATTTTATTTTTATTGTATTTGGTTGGCTTTGTATTTTGTTTTTATTTTATTTTAAAAATGTCTTTTTTTGATAAATGAATTAAAAAAGTTATAAACTTTAATATTCTGCTTTCCGCAAGACATTAAAGGAGGGTAATTTTGTAATTGCATCGCTTGGATTTGAATGTGTAGAGGATAAGGCTGATTCTTTTGGCCTCTACTTTGAGAGGGCTTTATTTTCTTTAATTGGCATCGGTTTCTTGAATTTTGTTGATCAATGGCGAATACCCAGTTGCAGAAATATGGGTTATTATCAAGGGAACAGTTGGTTTATCTATTTGATCGATTTTCTGTTCTGATTTCCCAGCCTGGTGCCTTTCATGTTCTTTTTTTTTTCCCTCATTTCCCTTTCTTCACTTTACTTTTTTTTTTTTTCACTTATGGTTAGTGGCACTTGTTTTGGCAGATGTCAAGAGGAGGATTGTAGAAGCTGTGAATGACAAGCAGGTTAATTTCCTCCTTGATTGAAATTTTAACTTTGTTTTGAATGCCAATTTAGTTTTCTTTTTGTAATTTGCTACTAAGCTTGGATAATTTGGGATAGGGTTTGAGAGTTCACCTTGGATACATAGATTTCCACTTGAGTCTGCTTCATTTGTGAGTATGGAAATGGCTTCGTATTTTGTTAAAATTTGTGTTCATTATGTCGGTTTAAATAAGTTCCTGTTAAATCTTGAAATTGATTTCCGATTATACTAAATATGCTTAGAGTGTTGTAGTTTGTGTAGTTATGGAAGGAAATAGGTTCGAGAGAAAATTTGTTAATCTGGAAATATCAAATGCATGTTACAGACTTAATCCATTGGGCACTTCCATTTTAGTTGTACTTGTGGACACGAAAGTAAGACTTCATGATTCAGACATGATATTAACTGTCTTACCCAAAAAAATTCATGTTATGGGGATGATGTTGATTATTTTGAGTGTGCTAACTACCTGTTTGAAAATTTGTAAATCCATCACTAGGAACCTGTTGCTGTCACTACTGCAATTCAGGAAGAGATATTTTTGGAGATGGGGGTTGGTAAGTTTGTTCGATTTCACAAAATCTGATTTGACTATTGTTAATCTTATATGATCCTACTTTTGTTAAATTTAATCCATCTTTATCTTTATTTTTTCTGTGAATAGAGAGTAGGTTTTGGTGCTCAATGGTTTAAATTTCATTTGACTAATGGTCATCACATCAGATTCTAGTGACTAACCTATTTATTTGCTCCATCCTGCAAGCGTGTTTCTTGATCCTAATCCAAAGATTAATTTACAGGTGGACTTTCCTCAAATATTTCTTTTAAAACAGAGAGTGGGTTTCAGGGCATAGTAAAGTGATATTACCTTGTTTTTGTTAATATATCGAGGGTTCCCTCTCTATGTCAATTTGAGAATCTAACATGGTTTTGTTGCGAAGCTGTAATATCAGTCTACAAGAGCTGAATCCAGTAATTAGCAAAATGATAGATCTGTTTTTGTCCTAGCTTTTGATAGTGTTTTATGCAATTTCATTTCACTGCTACAGATCCAAGTTTAGGTCTTGCATGCCTGGGGAAGGTGAATATGACTTATGAGAATGATCAGGATTTGCTGATTCGCTATTATAGATTTGTTGCGAAGTAATCTCTCTCTCTCTCTTTCTCTCTTGGTCTGTGATTTTGTGGATGCATGCATGAATGCGCGTGTGCAAATTAACAGTTTTGAAGTTATGACTTGGCTTTAGTTGCACTTGATGTTTTGAAAAGTGAAAACATTGCATGAACTATCATAATTGTTTGAACAATCCACAATCATTCTTCTTGGATCTGCAAGTGAGACAAGATTCGGATGTTCCACTCACTACTTCAGAATTCAGATATGTGAACAACTTTGTTGAGGCTTTATGCCTTTGCTCACACATAAGTTCTTCTTGTGTTTCTACAAGGGATTAGTATGAAGCCTGCAATCATTTTAATATATAAGAAACCTCAAACATGGTTGATTCATTTATATTTTAGTATAGTTTGGTTTAGTACTTTGGTTTTGGTTTAGGTTTAGTATATTTTAGATTGTATGAAGTTTGCAATCATTGTAATATATAAGAAACCTCAGACATGGTTGATTCATTTATATTTTAGTATAGTTTGGTTTAGGTTTAGCAAAGGAAATTAAACTTACCTGCTGTTTTCTGATGTTTGTATCGCTAGTATGTTTTTATATGTAAAGTGGAAATTTCCTTCGTCACAGAGTTATAAGTTCTTGGCGTATGGGATTTGATATCTAGATTCTGTGAAATAACAGTGAAGAGGTAGCCTGTGATGAAGCTGAGCTCGGGCCTGAGGAATTTGCTGAAAAGCTTCATAGTCAACAAAAACTACAGGAACAGGTAGCAACCCTCTGAAATTTGGTTAAAGCTTGAAAATCAGTGTTGCTCAAGTCCTTAAGATGAATAATTTTGCAGCAACTGGAGATGCTAAAGTACATGCGCAAATTTCACCTGGATGACCAATCTGCAATCCTTGAGAAGGTAGGTGCCTGTGTTCTTATTCTTGGCCTATATAACCTAGAGATTTGGACCTTCAAGCACATGGATGACTTTTTTTGCTAAATTAACCAAACTCGGGAGTAAGAGATTCTTTTATTTTGAAATTTAGAGTGTTATAAGACTTTAACCTTAGAAAGTAATAAAATTGAGTGGTCATTTATGACTTGTTTCCATGCAGTTACACCATCAGATGGAAGATGCTAATTTTGACAGTGAGGCATCAGTTTTGTCATCAGAACAGATTCAAGAGATTGTTCGAAGGAGGGTGTCTCCTTTATTCAGGCCAAGGTAAGTTGATACTTGATTTACTGTTGTCTAGCTTCACTCATAGCATGTTATATATGAATTAATGGTATGTGTCAGTGGTTTGTGTGCAAAATGATTGTTAGCTTTCAGACTATTATCTTTGTCTTTTAGTATCAAATATGTCTAGCCAAGTCTTTTTTCCTCTTTTCTCTATTGATGTCTTGGTCAATTGGGTTGACAGAGCGATGAAGAATCCAATGTAATGCTTCCTGTGATACCCTGATTTGGTGGATCTTCAACTACTTAGTCCATTGCCATTCCCAGCAAGCTCTCTTAAACATAATCTACATGTCTCCAGCAAGAACAGTTGGTGAAATTTCGTGGTACAAAGATGCCTTTGCTGTGTAAACAAAAACTGATTGTGGAACTGGCTTATAAATAGTTTGAATTTTACTGGTATTTTAGATTGAATATTAAAAGATAACATACCCTTTAAAAAGCCTACATGTATGGAATGAGTTTTCTTGTTGGGGACTCTTGAGGATGTGTTTGTATATAGCTCTCCTGGAAGAAAAACCATAGAATTTTGTTGAACCCACTCACCAAATGTGGAGATGGCCGAGTTGGTCTAAGGCGCCAGATTAAGGTTCTGGTCCGAAAGGGCGTGGGTTCAAATCCCACTCTCCACAATTGTTGACTATTTTTTTTTTTTTTATTTATCCTTTTGTGTCAGGGGTTGACAAATGGACCAAGGTTTTATTAATGTTGACTCATTGTCTTATTTATCCTTTTGTATCAGGCGTTGACAAATGGACCAACGGTTTATTAATGCCCGCCCCAATTTTATTAATGGACTTAAACGTCAAGCGTTTTTTTTTTTTTTTAAATAGCTTAAACGGCAAGCTAAATGCTAATATATATATACACCTTATTTTTCATCGATCAACCGACTGAAACCTGATTTCTTTCTTTCAACCAAGCACACAAACTTGAGTCCTTAGCAACCAGAAAGAAAATTTCAGAGAAATCTTTTCAACAATGGAGACAACAACTTATCACGTTCTAGAGCTGAACTTGATCTCTGCGCAAGGGCTTAGAGAGCCATCGGTTAAGCCCCATCGTCACATGAAAACCTATGCTGTTGTTTGGGTTGATTCATCCACCAAGCTTCACACCCGAGTTGATCGTGTTGCCGGCGAAAACCCTACCTGGAACGACAAGTTTCTCTTCAAGGTCTCATCCCAGTTCCTTTTCGGCAAAACCTCTGCTATCTCCGTTGAGATTTACACCGTTGGTATCTTTCGAGACCGGCTTATTGGTAGCGTTCGTCTTCTTATCAGCAGCTTCCTTACAATCTCCTCGACTGCTGCAACGATGAAGACTCCTGCTTTTGCTGCACGCTTAATCCAAAGCCCGTCTGGTGATTTCCTTGGAACCCTTAACGTAGGAGGAATGGTTCTTGATGCCTCCGCTGGCTTCCAGGCCTTGAGTAAAGTTTCAGGAATGGATTACCATGATCTTATGGGTGAGAATCTTCATGGAAAGCATCATTCAAGGACAAACAATAAGTCCAAGGCAACTGTTAGAGATATTATGGAGTACGTCCCTGGTGATTCCTTAACTTCCTCATCAGCACCTCCAAATACGGTGTTGAGGGAGTTGAGCTTGAAAGGGAGGAATGAAGATGATCATGGAGTTTTACCTCCAGAAAAAGAAACTTTATTTGAAGAAATCACAAGTGTTAACGTGGAGCAACCTCTGTCAACCAACTTGGTGCCAACTGAAATTGCTGATCGCGAAGTGATATCTGATAATGAAGGAACCCTGGTTAAGATGGAAAAAGACATTAAGATGGTCATGGAGGAGAACAAGAAGCTAAGGGAGATGGTCGAGAAGCTCATGCTAGAAAAAAAAGTGCAATCAACTGTTATATCAGACCTAACTGGAAGAGTGAAAAACATGGAGAGGAAGTGGTTAAGGAGGAACAAACGGAGGAAGTCACATTATGTGAGAATAGCATCTGCTCTTAAATCCTATATTTGATGCAGCAAATGGAAAAACATCTGTATAAGATCAGGCATAACTATCTTTTCCATGATTCTAGTTACTGTTTCTATCTACGTTTTAAGCTTTTAATTAAGTACTTTGCATTTGCAATTTCATTCATTGTAGATGCCGTTTGGCTTTCAATTTCTATAATTGAGAATTAAATTCAATCAATTAATTATAAACAATTATATATACATGCTGTTAAACATATTTAGATCATATTTTTACTTTATATAAAATTATTATGATTTCAAGTAATTAAAAAAATTTTAAGAAATTTTAAATATTTAACTATTCGATTATTATTTTATTTGAGAATATGCGAATTTAAATTTTCATATAATTATTAAGTTGAAAAATTTTTAAAATTTATATTTTATCAAAAAAAAATTATGATCCGGACAAAGCCAGAAGAAATTTCTAGTAATAAATTAAATGTGTTTCCTGTCCTATTGCATGCTTCGTTTATGCATAAATGAACTAAGGGCGTTGTCAAAACCAACCATTGCTTGAATTAGCACAGCTTATGGAATTGGGAAATGCCAAAGAGTCATTTTCAGGGAAAGATGAGAAGTGGTTTTGTTTATAATTGCAGAGGAGGTTGATATTTTAATTTGGTTTTGTAACGATGAAGCAATATATGAATGATTTTAAGAATGTAATTGATCCAATTCGAGTTGATATAATATAAAATTTGAGTTTGAATTTTACTCTAAATTTGAGATTCGAAATTCGATTAACGTTCGATTGAGTTTTATTTTTTTAATTTGAATTCAATTTGAAAAAAAAATTAAGTTATTCGAACTTACTTGATTAGATTTAAATAATATATAAAAATAAGTTTGATCATTATATTTAATAAAAACATGATTATTTATATTCGAATTCAAACTCAAATTTGTGATATTTTATTAATTAAATTAATTAAAATATAAAAAATTTAATTAAACTCACAAATTATTTGAGTTGAATATAAAAATATTTGAACTCGAATTAATCAACAAGTCAAACTATTCAAATTTGAATTTTACTTAATAATAATCAAATCAAATTTAAATTTTATTTGAATCAAATTTAAATAATTTATTAATATTAATATATTATTTACAACTCTAAATATGTTAACAGTGTTATCTTAAGCATCGGGGAAAGCCCGTATCTTAAAAAACCCGAACATATTCAGGCCTCCAAGAAGAGACTTTGTACTATAACCTATAACCAGGGATCCATTTTTAAGTGGGACCAACTGAGGACGTGGCAGCTTTATTTTTATCAATTAACCATAAGCTTTTCTTCCTTGAAACTCAAAATGGCCACTGCAACATTGATCTTCAATTTGGTGGTTGCACTTGGAGGTATTTGTCTATCATCTTGCTCGACGTCGTCGTTTCTGAAAGACGAAGTAGGCCTAGTTCCTAAAGCGTACAAACTTGACGTATCCGCTTTGCCAACTTTTTGTCTAATTTCAGTTTTATTATCTTGTCCACGTTTGGCACAGATCCGAAATCAATTTTAGTTTAAAGAGGGATGTTCCTTCATTGAAAATGAAACAGATCCAATGGAATTGGCAGCGCAGCAAGATGAGCATGAAACATATATATAATTCATTGGACCAAAAGTCGAAGGTTGAACTGGCTTCAACAGGATTCTATTACAACACTAAAAACTAAACCATTTCCAACAAAACCGAATATAAAGAAAACCCAAGTCTAAATTGAAATTACTTCTGGAACTCTGATGATGTAGCTCTCAATCTAATCATGCAGTTCTTTCTTTTCTTTTCTCTCTCTGCTGAAAAATTCTACCATTTCCCATCCATCCTGTAAGTCAGTAACACAAAGCAGACCTGCAATTTGAGCAAAAGATTCAGAGTTCGCGTGATCCCCAAAACTATCAAACACGACTAAAAATGAAACATGGCAAAATATATATCAATTCACTATAACTAATAGATGAAGATGTTTGTGATGTATATCTCAGATAGTTGTATTCAAAGAAGAGAAATTAATGTCTGTATCAGTTTGTTAAGCTGCCATGATTTGGTTTATCTTTATAATGATGCCACCCAACTATAGGATTCGAGAACGACTTCATCCAACATACCCAACACCTAACCCGACACAATCCATTTACTTGACATGTAATTGATCATTAATCCTTTGTATTTGACCCTGAACAGCATCAACACAGATGATCTAAGAAACTGCTCATCGTCTATGCTTTCTCTGCCTTGTTTCATTCTTTCGTCCAAATGTGAGCTTTGACCACTCTATTGCTCATTAGTGATAGCAAAATTAGTGCTTAATGACCATTTTTGCTGCAAGCTGTGTGTAACAAGAAACAATTACATTGACAAGCTGAGGTCAATCTCCTTCTAGGAAGGTTTCTAAAGACAAAATCACCATTTCATTATATTTCTACATCATACTGACCCTGAGATACCAAACGAGGATTCATCAACAAAACATAATTCTGATTAATCAAATTAATTCAATTTCCTGGTTTTTCCCTATCACTCAAAAACCTAAATTTCAGACAAAATTCATTAATTTAGAGATTTCAATGCATTAATTTTCAAAACAAATTCGTACACAATTAGATAAGCATCACATCAGTAACAGATCCACAATAATCAATACAAGAAACCACAAAGAAAGATGAAAAATAGCATAGAAATTGAAGGAACCGAACCGACCTAACTGGATCCAACAATAATGTTGTTAATAGGGATAAAGATGAGCTTGACGAAAAATCCTACGAATCCCATAACAACGAATCCGATCGCTGTACGGAACGCCACCTTCGTAAATTCTGAAACGAAAAAAATCGAATCTTTCAATCAGATTCCGATGGATCAACAAATTTTAATAATAGCAAAAAAAAAAAAAAAAAGAGAAATGAATAACCTTTGCGGTCGGGCTTGTGGCATCTCTTGACAAGACGCACACTGTCCTTAGCGAACTCTCTCAGCGGATCGAATACTGAGTCAATTGCGTCCATTTTTCCGTTTCTTCTGGTTTCGCTTGAAGGAAAATTTTGAGTTTTTTTTTTTTTTTTTGGTTCGTTTTAGATATGTTGATAGAATTTAAGTACCTTTGTTTGGACTCAAATACCCCTGGCTGTTCATTGCATGGACATCTCTGCCCCTACTTCCCGCTTTATCATTAATCCTGGCTTGATCTCAATGATAAGCAGGATTAAAAATGTTCAAAAGATTAAACTTTTTAGTTAAATATTTTTCTTTTTCTTTTTTTATAAATAAAAGATTTGATTTCACCAGCCAAAATAGCAAAAAATTTGCTGCTCAGTGCTAATGTTGCAAAGGATTCCTCAATATTCAAACATGGGTTGAAATTTAATGTATGAAATTACAAGAGATCCTAGATTCTGCATATATGACAATGCCATACAAATGAACATCAAACCTTTATGATCAACTAGAAAACTTGAATTTCCAAAAATGTGCCTTTCAACCAATCAGATGTAAATCAGATGAATCATCCACTGTATTGAACATCCTCCATTCCTTCTCGAAACTGTTAAGTACTTTCTCGGTTGCAGAAGTCATTGAAAAGAATCTTAATGTAGAAAGAACATGGGAGATCTATCTCTGTGCTCCAGCTGCTGTGGAGCCGGTTCTTTTCTCACGCTGGACAGATCGGGGAACAAATGTAAGGCCACGAGTATTACGGCGACCAAAGCTAATATTCAAAGGAGAGGAGTCTGAAGTGCTTAATTTAGAGACTGCTGAAACAAGGCCTTCCATCGTTTCGTTTTCTACTTCCATCTTACTTGAAGCTTCTTCGTCCTTCTTATGCATTGCTTGTTTCCGTTGGTTCTTCTGCCTCTGTTTCTTTGATGGATGCGCTTTCTTAAAGAACTCAAATGAAGTTGGGAATTTATGCTTGTCCACCAGATGTTGTTGCCGACCTTTGTAGCTCTTGAACTTCAAACCACAACCTTCCACAAGGCATTCATACTGTTTATCCACAAAGATAGGACGATTTCTGTGTTAAACCAAATTATACGGAGGTCGATTAAAGTACATGAACATTACAAAGTTAACAACAAACTACTGAACACTTCTACTATTGCAGAAAGAGTCTAAAAACAAACACATATCACATATGAAGTCATGCTCTGGCAGACACATTAACAGTCCCTTCATACTTCACATTTCTAGGTTTGACTAGCCTTCTTATCAATCTTTTGCACGTGCATGGATAAGAGAGACCAGATTGCAGTCAAGTAAATACGATAAATAAATGAAAAGCATAACACTAGTTGAATGGTAATGTTTGGGGCCTTATGGCCACGGCAAACTCATTCCACCTACACAATCAGGATCAAATGCATTCTTCAACAGAACAAAAGGAAAAGGAGATTTCCATGAACAATTTCCAAACACCAATATATAAAGTTAATAAGAGAAAGATACCACAGCATAGCCACGAGCAACTTTAGCTTGAAAGAAGGAATCATGTGCTTCAGACACATGTATACTTAGTAAGCGAGATGTCGGGTAAACTCTAGAGCACACAGAACAAGAAGCCGTGTGCCGTGCATTATAATGATCTTCAAAGTGCTCCAAACAAGTCAGGCGAGCACCGCAACCAACAATAGGACAAAAGACATCCCTGTTCAAACATTAGTTACAAATGGAAAAATTAATTACATTAACAGCATCAAACTTCAGAAGTCTTATCATCTTGTTTATATAACAAAATCTTCATATCCATCTACATTACTCCTTTCACAAAATTCAACACGAAACAACAGCAATTCTATCATACAAAAAAATCTTAGATGGAAGTCCAAACAATGACTGAACGTTAACAAATTCACAACTTAACAACATAGAAACCATTTTAGAGATCCTCTCAATCTGTGAATAAACACTGCATATAACAGCCCTTTCATGACCATTAACAACTAGTGATCATATATTAATCATCAGATTATATAGATAATTGGACCCCAAAAAGAATAATAAAAGCTAAAACCTGGCATCATTATCTACTATCTTCTCAAGTTGATTCCTTTCATCTTCAGTTAAATCCAAGGCCACCTGAATTTCACCCAAAAAAAGAGAAATCTTTTGAGTGTTGTCTTAAAAATTGAAACTTTGATAATCAATTAAAAAGAGAAGAAAATTAAAAAAAAATTAAACCCACTTAAATTCATAACTTAATAAAGCATAATTATTTCAATAGATCTTTAATTACAAAAGCCAGTGGACAAAAGCTAAAAGGGAAGGAGAAGGACCTGTTTGGCAAGAAGTTCTCTCTCGATGTTACCAGAAGAGAAGAAGGGAGAGTCGGGATCAAAACGACGACGATTCGAGGTCCAGTACGGAAACGACGAGTCGTGTTGGTAATCTACAACCATCGCCATGGCCACTCGCAGGTGAGAAACGCTAAGTTTTTTTTTTTTTTTGATTAATTTTGAATTGGTTTTGGGAATCTTTTAGCAGAAAGAAAGACTTTGTTTGGGTTCGGGCAAAGTTCTATTGATCCCAGTAGAAGCCCAATATAGGCCCACATTGCTCAACCAAGAGCAACCCATCTAAATAATCATGTATCCAAACAACATGGATTTATCCGAAAAGAAGACACGTCATAGAGTTTGGAATTATATAACCATTTTTTTTATTTATCATAATAATTTATTATTTATTTTAAATATATCCCAGTAGTGAGCTTATGATAGTGTATAATATAATTTTTATCTCAAGGAAATTCAATAGTTATTTTTTAAATATTTTGTTAGAATATTAAAATTATTAGTATCAATTTTTTTTATTTTGTGAAATAATGTAAAATCTTTTTCTTTTTTAATCTATATTCTTTTAAATTTATATTTGATATATTATTGGTGTATAAATAATATATATTATCAGTGACTTATAAATAGCCATATCATTAATTTATTTTAAAATAATTGAATATTTAAAACTTAAAAATATTTATTTTTAAAGATTCTAAAATTTTAAATTTATTAATAATGATGTGATAATTTTTAATAAATTGACGGTATATATAAATATAAACATATATGTATGTGTATATATATATATATATATATATATACACACACACGTGTATATACTTACATTGCATGCTTTAAGATTTTTCTTAAAAAAATCAAATTTTATTTATAAGTAATTACCAGATGGGTTCTACTAGGCATGATGTAATCAAAATTTGTTCAAGGAATATGGACCAAGCAAGAAAGCATGCACAAATTAAGTTTGCTTAAATTCATTGATAATAATTAGAAGATAAGGTACAAAATGAAACCAAACAACTTTACAATTAGTTAGGTCAATTCATTTTATAATAGGGTCATCAATTAGGCATTGGATGTTTTAAACTATAAAAGTATATTAATCTAAGTAAGCAAAGTGTAGGTCAGACCATGAAAGATTATAGTAATATACTTCTTACTCATGCTAATCTTTTTAATATTAAAAATTCTCACTAAATCATCATGTATAATTACATATGTTGAATATTTTTAAATACAAAAAGATGTATGGAATATGTATTTAAAATTTTTATTTTATTAAGAGATATGTTTCATCATTTTGTTAATTTTATATATGGAATTTAAAATTTATATTATTAGTGAATGCAATAATTTCTTTATATATATATATATATATATATATATAGATACACACATTTGATGAACAAGAAAATGAAAATGTCATTATCACATGTAGACATCGATTTTGTTCGGGTCTACTGTTTTATTTTTATAATAATAATAATAATATTTAACAAAACAAACAAAAAATAAAAAAAAAACAAATAAAAAAAATAAAACGGAAATAAGACAGAAGTTAAGGGGTTGGTACGATGCCGAACTGCCCCGACCAACTCCCTGTCAGCCACCCAACCAACCCAACCAATCCCTCGACCAGCCTCCCGACCAGCCACCCTACAGCCACCAACCAGCTACTCTACAGTCACCTAGATCCCCCTAAATCGAAACCCTTTAAAATACCCAGCCATCTTCTTCATTAAAATGTCTCTGGGCTCTCTAACAAAAAAGAGGAAGCTCTCTCGAAATCCCCTTCAATCTTTCTCTAGGAATTCCCTTCAATCTCCCTAAAAAAAATCCCCTTCAACCTCTCCGAAACCTCTTTCAAAACACTCTCAAACACTCGTCGATCGGGGCTGTTTCTGGTAAAACTGATTTCGGATTTGGAAAGATCGCGTCGAAAGCAGCTTCCTGATCATTTTTTGAAATTTTCGATCATCGGCAACGACCGCCAGCGGCGACCCAGGAGGTGGTCGATTCGGTGGTCCGGTGACCGAACGTCAACTTGTCGGGCCCCTCCCCCAAAGCCCTCTCTCTCTCGTTTTTTTTTTGGAAACAGAACCAAATGAACAAAAAAAATTTTCAAGTTATTTATAGAAAACATTAAAAGCAAAACGACATCGTTTCAACCAGGGAGGATCCGCGCGCGCCTGTGACCCGACCCGGGATCCGCTAAACGACCCGCTAACCCGTTTCTCCAACAGCTCTGCCGGTTCAATCAAATCGGCCCGAATCGTCGATCCGACGGTCGAACCGGTTGGATGGCCCGAACCGTAGATCCAACCGTCGAACCGGTCAGACCGTCTGGATCAGTGTTCAACGGTTCGGTTCAGGTAAATTTTTTTTTTTAATTTTTTATATTATTATTGTTATTATTTTAAATATATTTTTATATTTATGCATGATAAATTTATTAGAATAAATGTTTAATTATTTTAATAATAATAAAATTAAAAATAAATAATAATTAAAATATATTAAAATACTCAAAAAAAATAATTTTTATTATTTTCCCTGCCTAGATGTTGGAGGGAATAAAAATAATTTTTTAAAAGAAATAATTTCACTTAGATGTTGGAAAATTATTATTAATAAATTTTCATAAAAAAATAAATATAAGAAAATTTTAAATTAATTTTCAAAAATCACTAAAATCGAACTTGCTTCGAAAATTCGTCTAGATGTTGGAGATTTTTAGAGATGTTCGTATTTTCTTAAAAACGAAACCTTAAACACTAATTCTTAATTTTAAAATCATAGGTTTCTAAAATCCCTAAAAATCCAAAATCCCTTAAATCCAAACCTCATAAAATTCAA